GATTTATTTTTATGGTCAATCGTTATATTGCAAAATTTACAAAACATTACAGCACCACTAACATAGTAGTTGTCTTTTTGCGTAGAATTAACCCTTTCGATTGCTGTTACCATTGTAAAAAAAAAAAAAGCGATGATATTTTTCATGATTAGATTTATGATTATGATCAATGATTATGATCAACCAATCATATTTATTGCATGCCCCTAGCGGTAACACAGAACTGGACGCGACGCGTTCTATAAATATCATAAAAAAAAAAATAATTTGCTCTCAAGTATCATTTTACGATGACTGAATTGCGGCATTCGTTTTTTGATGAAGTCAATGTTAAATCCTGGACTATTTATCAGTTCCATAAAAACTGGATTAATCTTTATAAAGATTGTCCTAATCTAGTATATGGAAAGGCCGTAGATATACTCGCTAAAGTCTTCGCTCGATCGCAAATAGCAATTCAGATATTAAAAAAGTTGAGATAGCCAACAAACTTTTAAAGGCAAGTACACGTATCTATATGGGAATTTTCGTCCGCAGAAATCTGTTAGATATTTGCGGTTCTCCACAACAAGGAAGTTACAACTGTTAGTCGTTCTTCTGATGATCTGTTAGATCGCATTGTGGTTTTGACATCCCATAACTAGGAGGTGTGATGCTGTTAGCTGGTCCTCTGACAGATCTGTTAGATTGTTATGGTTCTCTAGGCTCTGATTAATAATGCAAAAAAATATTTTATTCGCTGGACCTAACTAATAATAATATTTTTTTTCTTTCTTTTCTGTTATCACCAGAACTATAGCCAGCGCAAAAAAGGAAACAATATTGACAAACTATGGCTTGCTGTCGAAAACAAGAAACTAGTTCTTCAAGAAAGGAACGTTAACACGGGAACAAATTGTATACAACTGGTTTCTTGCAAAGACATCCAAATTAGTAACGTCGGACAAAAAAGAAGTTACGAGAATGACGAGAATGAGGAATCAGTGACCCCAACGAAAAAGGTCAGTATATAATTTATTTTTGAAATTCAACTGAGATTAATAGTGTAAACTGTATTAGTTATCGGTTGACAATGACGACACCTCTTCGAAAAATGATAAACATGAACATGACGGACATCAAGAGACAGATGAGGAAATAATATCGTCAGAGGTCTGATATCTTATTTATTTTATACATATCTCCTAATTGATAAGTTCATCGATGAACAGATTCTTTTCTTATTGTAGAGTCCGACCGTTAAAAAACTTAAAGGTCTTGGTGGAATCGCTCGATATAGGATTGTCTTTTTACCGGAAGAAAATAATTGTAATCCGATAAAATCAGCCTTCGTTGAAGAAGAATGGTTAAAGTTTGAAACCGATTGGGAAAAAGTTTGTGGTCTTGTACATATTTATTAAAAAAAATTCGACGACGAACTTATGCTATTTTTTCCCTAGGTTGAAGAGACGATAGTTGTAAATGATGGAGTGGACGGACACATCGAGAATTTATTGAAGAAGTATGATGATGCAATAAATAAAGCAACAACTGGATATAGTGTCAATTTGAGCGAAATCATCGGCGTTTTCAACGAGTGTACTCTCATCAATCGGAGTTGTTATACTTTTAGTAAGGAGTGGCCGTTGCAGTGGACGCAATCAATTTACAATGCATTGTATGTAGTACTTTCCGTTCTGATACTTGAGACGATGAAATTAATTTTTGTTTGCTCTTAGTTCATTGTGCTTTAGCCTCGCAGTCAATCCGCTTCATGATAGTGAATTATCGGAGTACGCGTATAGAGACAAAATTGTGAATCCTCTCATAGAAAACGTTTTCTGGACATAAACGAAATGATTCGTATGAAAACGTAAGTTCTAAAAGCGATGTTTATAATGTCTTTGTCAGGCATATCGGACATTTGTATAATTGGCTGTTACACAAAATTGTGTAACATCGCTTTTTATACAGTTTAAAGTAATACG